ATCACTCATAAACAAAAGCTGAAAAACACTAAAACCTATGAACATGGCATGATAATATCAAATCCTCAAAGTAAACAAATGTTGAAAGTAGAAAGAAATCTAGCTTATCAGAAGGGATTGTAAGGCCTACAAGGCAGGAGTTTAAGAAGATAACCAAATATTTATGTCATAAAAGCATAAGTGACAACAATTAGGGGAGAGGAAAGAGACCAACAAGAGGGGAATGTTAGACGGGAGGAGCCACCAGAATATAATAAGAACAAAGTATAATGATACATGTGTGAAAATTCGAGTAAGAAACACATCACCAGATATATCAACTAAAAATTAGTGAAAAATAAACAAAGACGAGAACCTGAAGTAAAACCTTTGCTTTACTTGGACAATTGAGGCTGGTTGGCTAGGGTTGAAAAATCAGCAGTAAGTAACAAGAGACCAGCATCACTGTGGTGACATCTTCTGGGAGGTATTTCCTCAGGATCAGCACACAGAAGCTATGGTACAGAGGGGACTGTAGCCTCCATCTCAAGCTGGATGCAGGACTCGGTAATGTGTAAGAGTTTTCCTGCATTTTTCTGGTATTGAAAGCATGAAGGAGTTGTAGAGAGCAGCTGAGGCTTGGCACCCTGAGAGGCCAGGAAAAGCCATTGGTGAAAGTGTAGCCTCAGCTGCTTCAGGATTGGAGGGGTCATGGAGAGAATCTGAGGCTTTCCACCCCAAGAGGCCAGAAGAGACCATTGGCGAAACTGCAGCCTCAGTGGAGGTGGAGGTTTCAGCAGGTATGGAATGGAGCCCGCCTGGGTCTGTGAGATGAGCTTTGTGTGCTATGGAAGGCAGAGTCAGAAAGGTGGAGCTGCCACAACCCTTTGGAGCCCAGATGATCATGAGTGAATCCTAGATTTCCAGCCTTCAGCTACTTTGCTGGACTTTGGTTTTGCTTAGATGTGCCCGATTCTTCCCTTTGAAGTAAGACAGTATCTGTTTTGGATTTTACAGGAAGCCCCAGTTAAGAGACTTTTAAGAAACTGTGAACATTTAAGCGTTTGGATTTTTTAAGGACTGTGAGGGCTTTTAATATTGTACTCTCTTATTTTGTGATATTAATGTTAACATTGTGTCTTGTGGACAAGAACTGGAAAGGTTATGGTTTAATAATGATGATGTCTTTGTGTCAAGTTGACAAGGGGCCAGTTGTGCTGGATAGCTTTAGTGTCAACTTGACACACCTGGGTTGAGGGAGCCTCAATTGGGGAATTGCCTCCATAGGACTGGAGAGCTATTTAGTATATTTACAAACTTATTTTAGCCACCAAAGAACATCAAACTATATTACTTTCAGGTAGAATTGCTTCAAGTAATATTTAGCATATTTAAACTAAAAGAGAAATTTGTGCAATGTGTCTTGCAAGCAAAGAACTCAGCACAGTGTAGCCAAGGAGCCATGATAGTAATTATCTCTGGCTTCACTCATTCTATGTTGAGAGAATTGAACAATTATGTCAGAGACCATACAAACTTCAAAGCTGAGCAAATCTACTTACTGGTCCTTGAGAGGAAAATGTTGGCCATGGTACTGAGGAGATGGTTCAGAAGTTAAGAGTGCTTACTGCTCTTGCAAAGGACCCAGGCTCAGCTCCCAGCACCAACATGATGGCTCCCAACTGTCTGTAAGTCCAATTCTAGGGGGATCTGACACTCTTTTCTGACTTCTTACAGCCTCCTGCTTGCACATGGTGCAAACATAAAATAAAAATAAACATATTTTAAAAATTGGCCAGCCCCATATATACTATTAGAATTTAGAAATATTGACGATATCCATTATTCTGAATGATTAAGATTTTATCCTGTGGTTTAACAAGTAATGATTTGTGACCTATTGCAATTTTTGAGAATACGGGCATATGTATGTTTGAGGGAGTGGTTGAAAGCACGGCAATAAACAGCATTGAATCAAACTATACAGCATCTAGTAAATATATGCCAAGCACATTATTTCTGTAATATGTAAACCAATTTAATATATAAAGCAAATATCTATAATTGAAAATATTGAGAAAATGTGAATTTCTCTATTCTGATAAGTAAATATTACTGGTGTGTGTGTGTGTGTGTGTGTGTGTGTGTGTGTGTGTGTTTGTGTATGTGTGTCTGTTGAGATGCCACTCTATATCCCATAAATATGGGTAATTATTCCTCAAACAAGAAATTTAAAAGCCATCTCAGCTCTCAGCCCAGCCTGGGTCTCTGGGATCCTTCCCCTCCCCAGATTTGTGGTCTGGTGCTCCATTCCAGTAATTTAGTGCCCTGCCATTTTAGACACAGGATTACCTGGGGTGAGGGGGATCGTGTCCCATCATGGACCTGTGCACCCCCCTGGTCTTGGCAGGGTGAGTCACTACCTACTATCTCACTTCTCAGTCCAGCCTGGGTCTCTGGGATCCTTCCCTGTCCCAGAATGTGAGCCTGAGTTTAATCCCTGAGAATCTCTAGCAGCCCCACCATCTTAGCTCTCAAATCTCCCCAGGTTAAGAGGATCCTATCCCACCTCAGATCTGTTCACCCCTCCAGTCTTGGCATTGAGAGTTACTCCCCACCATCTCAGGTCTTAGGCCAGTTTGGATTTACAAGACATGTTGTCTTGTAAATCCCACCTGAGATATGTCAGGTGCTACTTCTCTGAGACTCCCTAGTGTCATTCCATCTTGGTTTCAAGACTTCCCTGAGTCAAGGAAATCCTATCCCATTCCAGATCTGTGCACCCCTCCAGTCTTGGTAGGGTTAGTCACTCTGTGCCATCTCAGCTCTCAACCCAGCCTGGATTTCAGAATCCTTACATGCCCCAGACTTGTGGTCCTGAACATTACCCCAAAGACCTCCGAGTGCCTCACCATCTGAACTCTACACACCCCAAACCTGCAAACCCTACCCTAACCTATCAACCAACCTGTTCACTTAGAAGGCTCTATCCCACCCTGCCAATCCAGGACACTGTGCAGTTAATCCTGGAATCTTATAGAAAAGTTGTATCTATCTGTGGCTGGGCTAAGACCACTTCTTTCATGCCAATTGTACATAAATATAAAGTGGGCCCAAAACTGAGCACCAAGTACTACTTAGTTGGGCTATAACCTGAAAAGTAGTGGATATAACAAAAAAAATTAAACAAGGATAAGATCACTTATCCATACCAAGAAACACCAATACACAAGTCCATCTTGATACCCAGATATTAAAAAAAAAAGAAACAAAATAAAAAAAGAGAAAAAAGCCCACAAAGTAAATAACCAAGATAATATGGCTAATAAAAAAATTAACAACTCTGCCACAACCTCATTCACCCTCATACCTCTCCCACCCCATCTCTCCTCCTAGTGTGGGCACTGGCCCAATTTTCTTTTGGGACCCCATACCTCTGGATTACCCTCTTGGCCCAGAATCCCCACTGCTTCCTGATCCATTGCACCCAGACCAAACCAATTCCTCAGTGTCCTCCACTGGAGCCCTCAAAGCCTGGTCCCTCCCCCATCTTACCTTTGCATATCTGAGACCAGCCTTCACCCCTGGCTGTCCCACCCCCAACCTGGATTCAAACCTTTCATGTAAAACAAGTAAACCAGAAAGGAACATAAAGTTTACAAACAGAAGCAGATCTAAACTCAACAAAGGAAGGCTTAATTCTCACACAATAATCAGAAACTACAAAAGAATTTCAAATGTCAAAGTCACAGTGATGTGCCTTTGTTATTTTCTTATTGGGCATGAAAAGCTGATTGGTCTAGGCTTCAGGTTCTCTTTTTTGATTTTATGTTGGGGAGTCTGATGACTTTAGTTCAGCTGCTCAGGAGTTTCCACAGAGGCCCAAGTTGAATGAAGATCAGATACATTCAGACTACCTCCTAAGGTCTGGGTTCCTCTAGTCAGCAGGCACAGTACGATTCTGGAGACTTGCTTGGTGGAGGTAGGATTCAGGCACTCTCAGGCAATCGGGGAAGGAGGCTGTTCTCATGAACCCTAGACAGTTAGGGTTGGGGACATCCATGCTAGAAGGCTTGTTTCAGGTGTGCAAAGGGAAGTTGAGTGTGAGGACAGGCTATGAAGGTTCTAGGAAACTAGACTGAAGAATTGGGTTGATCTGGATGCAAAGGATCAGTACACCGTGTGGATCTGGGCAAAGAGGGTAGTCCACAGAACTGGGGTGCCAAAACCAGAAGGGCAACTGTGCCCAAGGCTAGAAGGAGAACAGGATGTAGGGGATGGGAGATTGAATCAGGTTGTAGGAGTCAAGGCACTGTTGTCAAACTTACCAGGGAAGGAGGCTGGTCTCAGGAATCACAGGCAGGTTGAGGGTAGGGATAACCAAGGAAGGAGGCTGGTCTCAGGTGTGCAAATCAAGTTAGGAGTAGGGTCAGGCTGGGAGTCTCTAGGACCCTAGACTGAAGAATTGGGTTGGTCTGGGTCAGGATCAGGAGGCAGTGGGTGTATCTGGCCCAAGAGGGTAGTACAGAGGTCTGGGGTGCTAAGAGCAGAAGAAGGCATGTGCCCACAGCTAGAAGGAGAACAGGATCTACACAGCAATTAAAAAATTGTTAAATATGTTAACTACATAGAAAATTTTCTATTACATTATAGTGTGTAATGATCAAGTCAGCATTCATAATATTTCTAACTCCTTAACCATTAAAAATTTTTGATAACGGTGTAATCCTCATACATATTTGTAGGGGGCACTGTGGAACTCCAGCATATGATGTCATTAACTTATAGAAATTAATATTTTTACATAATTTAATTTTGTGATATCTTTGAGCTCCTCACTTATTGCTATTTATAAAATCTCTATAGCGCAGAGAGTATTCTGTGCTACATAGTTGGGGGTGTGTAGGATATGGGGAATTTCTGTAATAAACTATAACAAAAAATTAATGAATTCACAAGAATGTTTGCATATTAAGGATTAATATATTTAGAAATTTTTCATTATGATCTTTTATTTTTTCTCATGCAGAAGAGCATACATCTTGATGTGCTGGTGCGGAAACATTTAATAGCAATTGTAAATAACAAGTGATTTTATCAAAAAATCCAGAATGCTGACAAAGGTGAATATGACGCCAGTAACACAGAAGTCCACTGAGAAGAAAGATGACCTGATAGGTAAGCTCCGTTGTGGGTGTGTTAAACATTGGCATGACAAGCAGAAACAAAGAGGAAGCTGTGGATCCAAACACAAATGGCAGCCATACCTGAAAGTGAAAAGAGTGGGATTAGTGAAAATTTGTTCTCAGACTTTTCTATGACAACAGAGCACTTACAAATGTTTCCCAAACAAAGACTGCAAACATGTTCTCAGATATAATTAGAGGTCTCTCAGCTGTCCATTATATAAAGTAAGTTCACTGCAGACACTCCAATTGTCAAAGGAACTGAAATTACTTACTCTATAAATATTACGAGTTTCTCTTCTATTTATCTGAATGACCATCAGAAGTCAAATCAGTGCTCTTTTGTAGACATAGAAGTAAAGGACACACTGAAAGTCATAAGAAGTGTCATAAACAAAATTGAACAAAGTAATTTTTGTAATGCTGGTGAAACTTTTTTCACTTCGGGAATTAGAAAACCCAGCTGTTATAGCGATTTGTTCATGACACATGTTCAAAGAAGCCTGAACTATTTTATTCTAGACCATCATTATCAAATGAAAAGGAAAGAGAAGAAGCACTTCCCAGTCCTAGAATTCTGGTTTGTAATAGGCACTATGCTCTTAGCCGCCCATTCCTTCCAGCGTTATTCATAAAACAGCTCACATGTGCAGCTTACTGTCCTGCATATTCCTTGTCTGGTTTTATATGTTGGATTACTTAATGATTCTCACATTCAGATTCTTTGTTTGCATAGCAGTATCTGTTATAATACTGATCTCTAATCTCATTATGAAAACCACATTCATTAAACTTCAGGACACTGTGCTTCACAGTATATGTGTATTTAAGTTCTTAATGTTGTATGAGATGAGTAAAATTGTGATGTAGATTGAATCTCATTTCTCTAAGCTGCCTAGATGAATACCTGAAATGGAGAGGCACTCATCATATATTTGCTGAATGAAAGAAGGACTCAAATCAAAGATCTCCATTCACTAATTTCAATATGGCCACTGGTTAAAAAGGAAGTCATTTCAGGGAAGAAGAATGTAGAAGATGGTATTGGTTAGTGTTCTTAAAAATAGGATCAGTGCATCAATATATTGAAGAAACCCATAATAATTAATATTCATAGTCCAATGGAGATTGAATGAATCATTGGAGCCTAAACTTAAATAAGAAAACTCAAATGCATATTATAGTGACTGATAGAATGCATAGGATTCTTGGTTTGCTTTTTGCATCATCTTTATGATGAAGTGTCTGACATGGACCACATTGCAAATCAGTATAACATAACTAAGGCATAAAACAAAGACTATGAGACCTCATAAGATTCATATCATACCAGGTTGAGGCTTGTATTTTCCAAAGGTAAAATAAATGAAAATAAGAAAGAGAAAGGAATAAATGAAAAAAAAAGAGATTTGGAATAAATTTGATGCACATAAATACATGCCACAAAACCCTCTAAATTCTAAAATCAGCTACTACAAGGCACAATCAAATCAGTTGTTTGAGAGGCCCAAACATCTAAAAGATCTTCAAAATGAATTCCTTACAAAACAAAATATCCATCATGGCAGCAAATAAAAGACGATCCTGTTCCCTTTTTGTTGTGTGCTCAGTATTAGCCCTTCAATTGGCTTGACTGTGAAGGGTTATAAAAGACACCTGCAGCTCTTTGGGCTGCCTCTGTGCATGCTTTCTTCTAATTTACTTGAACCTCTATTTTCAGCAATGTCTTTTCAGATAAGTGCTGAATTCAGTTGTTATATTTGATTGCTTGCAGAGTTTAACTCACACCTGTGCATTGATCTTAGGAGTAAATGTAAGTTGACATCTAGGTGTGTTCTGCTCAACAGCCTCTGTGCCTGGTCTTGGAACTGTATCTTCCTAGTTTATTTTAAAGGATAAAAATATTTCTTAGTGTCTGTGCATATGGCACAGTGGTAAAGCATATCCCTTGTTGCTCTGTTTAATCCCCAGCAAAAAAAATGCATACAGTAATGTTTTAGGAGTAGTGATTATATTTTGTTAGTTAAATTCAAATTCAAAATGATTATAATCCTCCAGCTGATGCTTTTTTTAGTATCTTATAGAAAATAAATACCAAGAACATAAGAAATAAGATAAGGCATTGGGTTAATAGCTAAGCAAATACTTTTGAGTGAGGTCAATATTCTATTCCCTTCTAATTATTGCATAGTTTATGAATGATGAAGAAAATGATATATATCTTTCTGGAAAGAATTTGTGTTGAGCTTTTACATAAGAAGAAAGAAGCCAAAAAGTCCCATATCACAAACTTGGTAGTTGGGAGATGTTTTATATGTTCTCAATTTTGGGCTTAAATTTTTAGAAGTACCACACTGCTGGAGTTATACTATTCATTTACAGTAAATAAAATTTAGTATTAGTACTTTGACTTACTTTATAAGGTCTGGGTAGATGGGGCTCCTGGTACCTCTGTTTAAGTAAAGCTATCAAATTTAGCACACTTAGAATATTGGATGATAGCATCAAATATTTAATTAAGTGGATTAAATCTGAAGGTATTACTGCAACTGAAGATAAGATGATAATTTGGGTAACAGCGACAACTGGACAGTGGTGGTTGTTAAGCATAGAGTAGATGAATGACAGCTGTTCTTCTTGGCTTGCACAGTAGACCATCCTTGATAGTACAAGTATTCCACAGGTAGTGTTATTCAATAGTGGATCTGAGATCCCCAAAGATATGACCCATTGCATGGAAGGGTATGCTCTCTCCATCCATGTGGCAGCAACAGAATCTTCAAAAATTAAACAGAAATTCTAAATGTCAAAGTCAATTTCACTCAACTGCAACTAAAGCAACAGATTCCTATTCCTTCCTCCAGAAGTAATATGAGTGAAAGGCAGCCTCCACAGGCACAGTCCCTTTCCTCACTTGAAGATTCATGTTCTTGAGCATTGTTTGGACCAATGAAATGCATCAGAAATGTTTGCTTTCCAGCTGTGATTCTGATCTTCCCAACATATTTTGGAGTTCTTGCTCTCTTGATTAGTAGACTGTAGACCTGATATATTGACAATGTCATCTAGTTTACCAGAAAACAACTCAGGATTGGCCATACTGATTCTAGGGCTGTGTTAACAGGGCACAGTCTAGGGCTGTGCTACTGAACTATGAAGTTAAGTTGTGACAGTTATGCCAAAATTGTATTCGCTCAGGTTGCTCTCATCCAATAACCTCGTGTGCTAGTCACATGAAACTTCATTTATATCATGGCTAGTTGTATTTGGCCAAAGGGCTTCTGCAGCTTTGTCACTTTTTTCATCCTACTTCATGAGTATTAAAGCGCAGTTCCTTACTCTCCTTCCCTTCCTCTTTGCTTAAGTTCTGACTGGCATCATGCTCCACAGCTCTCATTCATATCTGACCTCCTTCCTGTTTTCCTAACATGAACATTTCCCTGAACAAATCATCACACATATATTGCTATTTTGGGACTGGTTTGGCAAACCCCTAGTTGAGACCCTCAGGTCCGTAGGCAAACTGAGGACAGCTGTCTTCCAAGCTGCATTAGCCTGCAGTCATGAATGACCCCACAGATATCAGCAATGTTTAGTTGGATGCATCCTAAACTGCCAACTTGAAGGCATGTGAATTAAGCACATGGTTGAATTATTCCAGGAAATTTCTGGAGGTTTGTCAATAACCAATCAGTAAGTGAAACAATCACTAAAATAAGTATTAAATAAGAGAATAATGGAAGAGTTTTCAATGGAGGTATATCATCTATTGTGAAATAGTATGTCTCATTTTAGGAACATAAGATTTTTTAATATGCTATGAATTAATCCAAATTATTTACATAAAATATTCATTATAAATTGTAGTTAAAAATAAGTGATATATTTGTGTTCTGTTAGGATAGTACTTTTGCATGACCATTTGATGAATTAATAGGTTATCTCCTCCCTGCTTTCCATCACAAGTAGACACGCAGAATTTTCTTCTGTATACTTACAACATTGAAAATATTATGAAACTCTGTTTCTTTATATTATCTCTGACCTAAATCATAAAGAGCTTATCAGTCAGAGGGATTACTGATATCAGATTTAGAGTGTAGTCATTCTATTCCATTTTAAGCTATTATCCCACATTTGAAGTTCTTCAGGATGAGATAGACTTGTAATTTGCAAGGCATTTGGGCTCACGGGGGGTTGGCACTTAGACTCAATCCTGCTACAGGCAACAAGTAGGCTTGTAATAGGGGCTAAGGTCATCTAGGTGGCATGGTGGGGAAAGAAGAAGGAAGAAAGTCTGTCCTGGAAATGAAAATTCTTTATAGCTAAATGTGTCTATGTGCAGGAGAATGCAGAGTTCATTCTGAGTAGGAAGAAGAGATTATTTCCCCCTTGATTATACCCAGACATACCTGAAGAAATGACTTCCAGGGGTATCAAAACTGCCAGGTACAATAGGTTCGTCAATAAGTATAGCAGTCACAATGGACAGGCCAGAAAACTGAGTTGGGGATTGTCTTAGCAGGATTTTTTATTTCTCCTACAAAAAAAAATGTGGTAGTCAAAGAACACATCATTGTAAAACTTAAAGAATTCTCTGTAATAAAAAGGTGGAGAGACAACCTCATTCAATCCTGCAGCTCCCACATCCCATCTCTTCTCCTAGTGTGGCACTGACCCAGTTCTCTTGGCAGTCCAGACATCTGGACTACCCTCTTGGCACAGAATCCCCAATGCTTCCTGATCCTTTGCATCCACACCAACCCAATTCCTCAGTCTAGTTCCCTGGAGCCCTTAAAGCCTGTACCCTCTTCCACCTCGCCTTTGCACACCTGAGACCAGCCTTCATCCTGGCTTTCCTACCTCATAACCTACCTGGAATTCCTGAGGCCAGCATCCTTTCGTGACTGCCTGAGTCCCAATTCCTACCTCTACCTAGCAAACCTCCTAAATTGTATTGTGCCTGCTGACCAGAGGCACCCAGACCTTAGAGGAAGCTTAGACCAACCAGCTTTTTATGCCCAACAAGTAAACCTCAAAGGCACATAGAGTTTGCAAACAGAAGCAGACCTAAACTCAAGAAAGGAAGGCTTGAGTCTCACACAGGAATCAGAAACTACAAAGGAAATCCACATGTCAAAGTCACAGTAAAAAAAATAATAACATGAAAAACTCGATAATATACCCTCATCAAGTACTAATAGTCCTGTAGAGGAGTAAAATGAGAACACTCTAGTGATAACACAGGACATAGAACTCAAAAGAACAATTATGAACATGATAAAAGATTTGAATGAATTTAAAGAACACAAAAATAAAGAAATCAAAGAACTGAAATAAGATAGAGATAAACTTCTGAATGAATTCAGAAGAGTTAGAAATATTGAAGAATAAGCAGGCCAAAATGAAGAAGGAAGGGAACACTCAATAAGCCAATTAGAAGTGACAGGAGAAATCCTCACCAATAGGATGAATGAAATGGAAAACAGAGTATCAAACTGGGAAAATAAAGTTGACAAATTAGACCACTCAAGCAAAGATTATGAAAAATTTAAGAAAACACAAGAATGGAATATGCAAGAATTTTGTGACACCATAAAAAGACCAAACTTACACACAATAGGCATAGAGGAAGGAGAAGAATCTCAGGATAATGGTATGGACCAGGTCTTCAACAGGATTATAGAGAAAAATTTCCCAAAATTAAACAAAGACATGCCCATACAAATACAAGAAGCACATAGAACACCAAATAGACAACACTAGAAAAGAAACTCTCCACGGCACATCATAGTAAAAACACTAAACATACAGACCAAAGAGAGAATACTGAAAGTGGCAATTGAGAAACAACAAGTCACATACAAAGGAAAACCCATCAGAATTACAACTGACTTTTCAGTGCAAACGATGAAAGCCAGTAGAGCCTGGACCAAAGTATTCCTAGTTCTAAATGAGCCACAGATTCCAAGCTAGATTACTTTACCCAGCCAAAAAGTCTATTGTAGTCAAAGGAGAAAGAAAAATCTTCCATAAATAGGCTCAAAGAATTCATGTTCACAAAACCAGCACTTCAGAGAGATTTGAAGTAGTACAAAGCATGGAAGAAAGGAACGACTATACCCCTCCAGTAACAGAAAGAAACTTAATGAAGGTGTAACTGTGGAAGTGCACAGTTATACCAAGACTGCAAACAGAAATCAAAACAACATGAAACAACACATCTTTCATTAATAAATTTAAATATCAATGAACTGAACTCCCCAGGCAAAAGACATAGACTAGTTGAATGGATTAAAAAACAGTACCCATCTTTTTGTTGTCTGCAAGAAAGCCATCTCACTTTCAAGGTCAGGCACTACCTTAAGGTGAAAGGATGGAAAAAATATTGCAAGCGAATGGTACTAAAAAAAAAGCAGGAGTTGCAATTTTAATATCTAACAAAATAGACTTCAAATTAAAACTAATCAGAAGAGATAAAGAGGGCCCCTTTATTCTGATCCAAGGAACAACTGACCAAGAAGATATTACAATCACAATTATATATTCACCAAACTCTGGTGCACCCAGCTTCATAAAAACAGGCCCAGATTAACCCCAACTCATTAATAAAGGGGACTTCATTATCCCATTGTCTCCATTAGATAGGTCAATAGGACAGAGAATTAACAGAGACAACAGAATTAAACAATACATATATAAAATGGACCTAACAGACATCTACTGAATAGTCCACCCAAGCACCAAATATATTTTCTATTCAGCACCCCATGGAAGTTTCTCAAAAATCGACCATATTATGGGGCACAAAACATGCCTCAACAAATACAAAAAGATTGAAATAATTCCATGCATTCTATCAAATCACAATGCAGTAAACCTTAAAATCAAACTGGAAGAAACCCTAGTAACTACATGAGCAAATGGAAATTAAACAAAACACTCCTGAATGATGAAGGGATCAAAGGAGAAATTAAGAAAGAAATAAAAGTATTCCTGGAACTAAATGAAAGGGATAATACATCACAACCAAACCTCCTAAGAGGGAAGTTTATAGCTCTAAGTGCCTACATTAAAAAACCAGAAAGGACACAAATAAATGACTTAACATTGTAACTTAAGACACTTAAAAAGCTACAACGAATGAAACCCAAACCCAGCAAACAAGAAGAAATATCAAAAATCAGGGCAGAAGAAAAATAATATCAGAAATTAATGAAATAGAAACAAAGAAAACAAGACAAAGAATCAACAAATACAAGAGCTGGTTCTTCAGAAAGATAAACAAGATTGACAGACTGCTAGCCCAGTTGAAAGAAAGAAAGAAAGAAAGAAAGAAAGAAAGAAAGAAAGCAAGCACTTCCAAATCAACAAAATCAGAGATGAAAGGGGAAACATTACAACAGACACCAAATAGATCAAGAACATGACAAGGGGATATTTTAAAAACTATATGCTATTAAATCTGAAAACCTAAAAGAAATGGATGGGTATTTAAATCATGGGAATCACCAAAACTACACCAAGAAGAATCAACAGCATATACTGACCCATAACACATAAGGAAATTGAAACAGTAATACAAAACCTCCTGACTAAAAAGAGCACAGGACGAGGAAACAAAAGAGTGACCAGAGGTTTGGCAAGGCTTAAGAACTCTCTAAGCCCACCCCCAGTGACGTGCTTCCTGCAGGATAGCCACACCTCCTAAAACCTCCCAAAACAGCACCATCATCTGGGGACAAAATGTCCAAATCCTTGGAGCCTATGGGGGACATTTTCATTCAAACCATCACATTCCACCCCCGGCCCCCATAGGCTCATGACCATATAAAATGCAAAATGCATTTAGTTCAACTTTAAACTAGTCATCAGTCTCAATACTATTCAAAAGTCCACAGATCAAAGTCTGTTCTAAGACTCAGGTAAATATCTGTAAGCCTCTATAAAATTAAAAGACAAATTACATACTGCCAACATATAGTGGAACTGAATACACATTACCATTCTAAAAGGGAGGAATGGAGGGATAGTAAGGAAATACAGTACCAAACAAGACCAAAAACCAGCAGAGCAAACACCAAATCCAGTAGTTCCACGTCCAACTTCTGGGAGTTTACTTCCAAAGGGCTTAGATGGCTTAGCCTCTCTAGCTTTGCTGCATGCAACACACATCTCTCTCTTGTGCTAGTACTACTCCCTGTATACAGGTCTTCTTTGCAGATACCTCACAGCTCTGGCATCACAAACTTCTTGGGGTCTCCATTGTCAACCAAGCTTCACCTTCATAGCTTCATGCAATGGCCTATCAGGGCCTTCTCTAGGCAGGGGCACCCCTTCTTCATGCTGCCCAGCCTCAGCGGCTCTCTGAAACCTTGGAGGAAGAACTGATGACCCCTTCACTCTTGCATCTTTCATGCCTCTAAAGCCAGCACCAGGTGAATGATAATGCCAACTTTGATGGCAAGTTTGGGATGGACACCAGCCTGCTTTATCCATTTTAGAAGCTTTTCTCTTCAGTGGTCCCTGCAGCATTTTCCTTTCACAAGTTGGAGGCTTAACTGGATGTGGTCTTGCCCTGGAGGCACCCTCTCCATTGTTTAAGTTTGAATTTCTAGGCCCCTCCTTAATCACTTTAATCTCCTTATCAATGGGATCCTCTCCATCACATGCCAGGGCTCCAACACTTGTCTTCCTAGTGCTCTTTTTCAATCCAAATTGTATTTCTTTCTTCCCCAATTTTCTCTCTTTCACTGTAGATCTGCATAGTATTCACCATTAATAGCCACACCATCATTTCTACATTAGGCTGTCTTGAAATTTCTTCCACCCAAGAAATTAGTCCATTACTTTTCAACTTAGTCTTAGGCCAGCTTTTTGGTCTAGGGCAGACTCCAGCCAGACTCTTTGCCAAAATATCCCAAGTGCTGTTTACCTCCTTATTTCCCTCTGGAACTACATTGTTTTCAGCACTGCTTTCTTCCCTACTAGAGTGACCTGTTAAGCTCTGCTTACAGCAATCAACCACTTTTCTAGCCCAAACTTCCAAAGTCTTCCACCTTCCTCCAAAACACCAAATGGTCAGGTTCTTCACGGTCAACAGCCCACTCTCTGGTACCAATTACTGTCCTAGTTTGTCTCTCCATTTCTGTAACAAAACAGTCTGACTAATAACAACTTGTGGAGGAAAGGGTTTATTTAGCTTATATCTCCTGTCACAGTTCATCAGGGAGCCCAAGGTAGGAATTCAGGCAAGAACCTAGAGGCAGGAGCTGGAGCACAGGCTATGGAGGAAACTGGTTATTGGCTTGGTCCCCTGGTCCCTTCTCAGCCTGCTTTCTTAGGCCCACAGGCCCACCTGCCCAGGGGTGGCACCACCCACAGTAGGCTGGGCCATCCCATATTACTCAACAATCAAGAAGATGCCCCATGGACATAGGCACAGGCCAGTCCAATGAAAGAAATTCCTCAGTTGAGGGTCCTTCAACCCAGGTGTGTCAAGTTGGACACTAAAGGTATCTAGCACACACTCCCTTTCAC